GATTTTCTAGCAAAATCGTTCTTTTTGTATTCGCAAAAATGAATTAGCTTGTCCATCTTCTCAACTTTTTCGCCTCTAGCATATTTACATTTATCAATATTTGATGGCGCGTGTGAATATAAATGTTCTTGCTCAATCATCATCTTACACAAATCTGTCCGGTCACGTTTTCGGATTCCGCTCCTTGATTAGGATGGATTTCAGGTATCAGCCAGGGAGTGACTCCGCCACCCACGTATTCAATTTTCCGAAAAGCTCGGATGTTTGGTCCATCGCTGCTCGTGAGTCTCGCAGTTGCACAAAGCCGCGGCATGACGTCCAAGGTGTTCCATCGACAATAGCGGAATACGGCATGGAAAAGAAATCCCTTATGGTCCCCTCTGCCCGCTGATCCCATCGATTCACGGTTCACTTAGTTCGAGTCTTCCCTCGACATTTGTCGTACAACTCACTTCGATGTTGTTACATAACGATTCTCTGTCCACGAGACATCAAATCCCACCCGTCGTCGGTAAACCGGCATATATTTTCCTCGGACTGCTCTTGATCGTTAACGTAAACTGTATGGGTAGTCCGTTTCATTTTCTTCTCGAATCTAGTAGTAGTTCTTCGGAGCTACCACCATCGGATTCCGTCGCGTCGCGGCCGGTTCTGCCCATAATTATAGTCCCGAGTGAACTCAATAGAAAGACGTTTTAAATGATGGTAAAGCATAAAAAACTTGCGTGAGAAAAGTAGGTTTGTTTGTTATGAGTGCTATATAATTAATATCGAAAAAAGTAATTTTAGAGAAGTTATATAATCTCTTTTTCAAATATATAACACACAATATAATTATAATATCCCAACCGTCATTTAATAGTCCTAATCCCTGCGTTTTATTCCTGCCTATCTTTAAATCCCGAAGCTTCATTATTTTATTCATCGAAATTAATACGAGAATAATTCGTGACACAAAATATTCTAAAATAGTCTATGCTTCTCTGGTCCAGGTTGCTCCGAGCTGACCCACGTGGAGTCTTTCATATGGCAATAACTCTAAAATTTGATTGCAGCAGACATCGGGATAGGGGCTACCCCCAAGGCAACTGTGGTAATAGGCCCTCAACCCTCGCACCCACGCTCTTTCCGTTCTCGAACTAAGCTTCGGACCAGCTCCGCCACTACCATCACCGCTACGTCGTAAATAAAACGAAATTGTTGACCGGTACCTTTCGGCTGGTTAAGCGTTAAACAAAGGCCCACGGGATGTCGGGCGCCGTATCTTTGATCTCTGTTTGCCGAGGCATGCATCACCCGCGAGATAATCAGGAATAATTATTTGTTAGATAAATACGATCGCAGCCGGCGATAGCGAGCTAAATTTATGATGGACCGCTTGCCGTTTGTAAATGACGCAGAGGAGAGAGCTCGTTCGCGCGCGCCGAGCTATGAATATTGCCACTCGAAGCGGAGCACGAAAGTCGAGCGTGCATTAAGAAGTTTGCACGAATTCGAATCAAATAGATTAATTCAAATATTTTAATCATTTCGTTAAATTTCGAATCAAATAGATTAATTCAAATATTTTAATCAATTTCGTTAAATTTCTATCTAGCATTGTCTTTGAAACTCGTGAATAATAAAGTAAAGAGAAACCTCGTAGATTAAGTCACGCGTCTGAAGCGACTTTAATATCGTGTTCTACCTGCACGTGTATATTAGCGGCGTGTTGACGCGTATATTTATGTATGTACGTCGAGTGATAGACATGCCTCTTGCCGTGTCTGACTCTTGCGTAACGCTCGGCTAACTCGAATAGCCTTTCCCGATCCTCTCGATGATCGAGCTTCGCGAGAGGATCGTTGCATCTCTGCTTCGCATTCCTGGCATACCAAGTGAAATCGATGCGTCCGCATCGGCTGCATCGATGGAGGGTGATTCTCATGCAGATATTTTCAAGCACGGATGCCGAACGAACGTGCTTGATTCTCACGGTTACTCATCGTAATCTCTAAATGATAGTATCACACTAGATGTATCATATCTGTCAGATACATTTATTTTTTTCCCTCTTTTTGCGTTCTTTCAAAATACGCGGCAATAATATATACATTTTGCTCTCTAAATATGCAGAGAAAGAGGGATAAGAAATAAATAAAAAAAAAACAGGTTGCTAAGTTTTGCTTTGGTTTGAGCGAATGATATGGTATAAATTAATCTTCTTGAAAATGTGAAATTAAAATTAATTCTTACAAGGTCCATCAAATTTATGGATCATTATGGATCAGAATTATCCTATTTTACACCATCGAGATCCAGCGTTTGAAAATTTCCAGAGGAGGTCTACTACGGTCTACCGTGTCGTACATCAACGTCTCGCGGAAGGTGGGCGGACGTCGCGTCAGCGGCTGACGCCCCGCGAAATTGAATCTAAAGGTCCGAGTGTATCCCCACATGCCAGTCCTCCCCACGGAGCTGCAGGGAGGTCGCAAATCATCACCTCGCTACATTTACAACGTTAGATAGCCCAAGATTACAGTCGTTCTCCAAGCTCGTTCCTACGCTGTAGGAACGCAAGGCGCTTCTCCTCTCGCCCTTCGTTTTCTTTCCCTCGCGAGGGATATTACAGCGCCCTTCGCGAAAGCGATCCCTCGCCGTTCTCGCGGACTCGTTGCCTACTTAAAGCGAAACAATGTGGTCCCTCGGCGATCGGCCGCGCGAGTAACGTCCAGCTCGTAAATTATCCGCCGGCGGGGACTAATGAGCTCGTGATTATAGGGACTGGGGATAAAAAAGGGCGTTCTTGCGAATGCACGATGATGTTCACGCTGGTGATATATCTCCACGTTCGTTGTTGCGCCTAAAATGTATACGCGATTTCTTTTTCCCCGACGAGGTAGGATGAATACGATGGGCAACCGGCCTTCCGTGGCTCCGGAATCAAGCGTGGATGCGTCGGATTCGATTAGATTTAGCAAAGTGACGTGGGTTCGAGAGGATTCTCATAATTATTACGGGGTATACATGATGTTTCCAAAACAAAGATTTGTATGTCTCACCATCGTTATCCGACTGAACATCTTTAAGCCGCTCTCACGCGAAATGTAAAATATTATCTACTTGTTTATTTGAGATGAAAAATCCCACGCAAAAGCGGGGCTCACTTCAGGATTCCCCGTTCTTATCTCCCACTTGAAAAGATTAAGAAAATTCACCGTATTACGCGACTTCGTGTAAAGATCTCGGGCCATTATTTACGAACTAAGGCCTGATGATCTCGAGAGGATCAACCGTATTCCGTTTACCGATAGGATTTGCTCCCGGCCGGTCAAACAATACGCCCTGAAGCGCGCCATCAGAGCCAAGTCTCTCTCTCTCTCTTTCTCTTTCTTTCTCTTTCTCTCTCATATTTCTCTTAAAACGACGCGAGCGTTCACGTGTGGCAACAGAAAGGATTGGAGGTGGGTATTCCCTTGGTTTTTTTGTTCGCGAGGGACTTTGGTCTCGCACACGAAATTCCAAACATCTTCCTTTCTCTCCTTCTCGTCCAACAGCCTTTCCATGTCCTCTCGCGCGGTTCGCAAAACATACGCGAGCAGATACGGATTCACCCTCTCTCGGTCGTCTTAAGCCGTTCCCGCGTTTTTACATTCTCGACGAAATCCCCGCGGCTTTGTGTCCGTTTATTACGTTTGCCAACCAAATGATGTCATTAGATATACTTAGGCTGGGCTTTATTGTCGTCTTTTATGCCGGACGGCTTCCGTGAAACGAATTCGTGCTGAGCGTTCACGACTCATCGGTTATCACGCCGAAATTTGTTTGCTGTCTCGCTCACGTTCCTTGGACAGGTTGCCTCACGGCTTTTTTCTCTTTCTTCTCACGACCACGTGAGAACCAGATATACTGTTTTATTGCCGAATATTTCGTGGCAGCTTTCCATGTGAAACTATGCGTCTTGTACACGCGTATCTTTTTACGATAAGCCTTTGTACGTTACATGCATCTCGAATGCGAGAAAACGTCAGTCCAAAGTATCCATGGATGATGAATCATGGATTTTAGAATATGAGAAACTAACGCGGTTGTCCGATCAATGACTTGCTACGAAGCTGGTGTGAATTGTGAAATAAATAAAGTTTATAGTAAGTTAATTAAGTAAAATAAGTAAATTAAGTAAACTTTGACGAGAGTAGAATATTGCAAACAGTTTTGTATCTCTGTGATAGCACAGCGTAGCACATATATATATTATTAAAAAATATTTATTGATATTCTTATCTCTGTTTAGATACTTTTTATCCGTATTTTGAACGTTCTTTCAAAACTCACGATAACTTCATTTTTTCTCTTTCGAAAGTCTCATAAAAAAAGTAGGTATTTATCTCGGTTAGCTGTGAAAATGTAATTTTTTAATTTAATTATTTTTATTCGTGAAGACAGCTATTATCAAAAAGATACTAATATTACAAAATAAATTTAAAAAAAACTTGGCCCATGAGGGGATCGAACCCGCGACCTTCGCGTTATTAGCACGACGCTCTAACCAACTGAGCTAATGGGCCTGTTGAATGGTAGGTACAACTTTAGTAATTTCCTCTCCGACATAGATGTATCATGACATACTTGTCATTTAAATGTTAATACAATTATTGAAGAAGCAATTTATTAAATAATAATCATCATGAAATTAATATAAGTAGATCAAAATATTGATAGAATGGAACATAAACATCTAAGACAATCTGTAAAATAATTTTTGTCAGATTATGATATACTTGTCATCTAAACGTTAATGCAATTATTAGAGAATCAATTTACTAAATAATAATAATCGTGAAATCAATATAAATAGATCAAAATATTCATATAATTAAGAATATATAATCAGAGATATTCTGTAAAATGATTAAAAAATGTATTGCAAGAATCGATAGTCTTCTTTTTCAGATGTATTGGCATTTCTGGCCATCAAAATTGTTTCAAAATTTATTAGATAAATTTATAAGTATAAATTAAATTAATTTACAAGAGCAAAATGCCGGTCGAATTGCCTGTTGATATGTTAAATAAACCTTTGTCGGAGATTGTTTTCAGAAGAAAAAATAATGCTTTATTCAAGAAATTAGCTCGAAAGACTCATTTCAATGTGAGAGAAGTCGAAGGTTATTCAATAATAAAATAAAATAAACACACACACATACCTTCATACATTTTTAAAGATTTAATGTAATTTCTATATATATGTTCGATAAATTCTAATTTTACTACAGCGTTAGCTGTTATACATAGAAAAATAACACAAACTTTGGGTCCTATGACAAGATCGGTATTTAGAGATGTTTTGCATTCTGGTTTGGATTTTACTGAAAACATTCGGCATCTATATATCGACAGAATTTTCTCTGCATTTGACAAGAAGAACGTGTTGCAAGTATGAGAAATTAATATAAAGTAATTTATAAGATTTTATATTTCTATAATAATTAAAATTATAATTATGTGAGTATATAGATTCATCTGGAACAGTGGATTGAAGGGCTCTCCACAATTCTTCGTGGCAATCTGAATGAAAAGATACATTTTGCTTTTAGTGTAATCTTAATGTTTCTATAATTATTCTAACTATTTAAAAATTTAATTTGCATCTAAATTTTTTACAAAGTTAAAATTAATTTTTTTAATTCCGAAAGACTAAATTTTTTTTTAATTAAAAATAATTATTTTTAATTATAATATTTATTAAATGCAGATATATGATTTTATGCATACGAACAAATTAAAGAAAGAGCAAATATTTCCATCAATGCGAGGTTGTTTGATCAAACTGCAAACAGACGAAGATCCCGATGAAGCTGTGAAGGTTAATTAATTAACAACAGCAGAGATAAGTCTTGATCTTAGTGTTACTAATAAAATATCAATTATCAATGCGACACTAGAATGCGTATCTTTCAAGCATAAAGTTTACATAAAATAATAATATTTATGGTGTCATAGGATTTGATTGATTCACTGTTGAAAAAGCTCGACGTCGATCGCGACGGTGTAATATCCGAAGAAGAATTTTACAGGGCCGTAAAAGAGAGAAATCTACTGTTGCTAGAATCTTTGGGACCGGTGTTCCCATCTAGAGTAGCGCGACGAACATTTCTGAGCACATTTACGGATCGCCTTGGACGATTTTGATTTTCCGTACGTTTCACGAAAGTTATCATTTGTATATAATTGCATACTTGGTAACGTCTATTCTCATCTTGTCAAAACTGTAATATTGCAACAATAATATTGTATATTAAAAATATGAACAGACTGTTTGGACTATATTGTCAGGAACTATTCAAGCTAGAAAACCCAAAAGTGCATCTCGATGCAGCAGACAAGCAAACGCGTCAAATCAGACAGAAAAATCCTCCTGAACGAGTGACGCTCCAATAAATTTTCAAGACCATCGACGCAACGTACGGCTTTTACGATTCACCGAACGATGGCAATTGACTCGTTCGTTTTCTTCGCAAACAATAGCTAATGGACCGCGATAATGCCACATCCTAATCGCATCAAGCTGCATCCGCGATACGATCACCACGGGCGACTTGAATCGATCATTTAATGAACCCTCGCGATCGTCATAAATCTTATTACTATGATCAACGTAAATAGATGATCGATATCCATATATCCGCGCACGTGCTATTTATCGTGATACATCGGTCGTGACGGTATTTTTGCAAAGTATTATTAGTTATACATTGTAAAAACATTGTAAGATAAAAGATAATACGATCTGAAAGCGCGAAAAGGGGGAAACACAGAAGGGGATCTCGAAGGATATCTACTCGGTTGTTCTTCTATCGCTTGGATCGCATGCCGGTTCACCTGCTCCGCGATCATTCGATTAATAGAGACCGCTCGTGAGATACGGAACAAATATAGACCTTTCTTGCGAGCGAGATGGGCTGCTGCGCAACCCCACCACCGCGAATCGCGGTCGTACGCGTTACGAAGAAGAAGAAAAAACATAATGAATGTTTGAGGGATTCCGAGGACGGACGAATGGCCCGATCCGCGTCTCAAGCAGCTACAACAACAAATTAAATGAGAAAGTCTTGAGGCTTTCGTCGGCTACGCCGACGTCTCTCGTTGCCTATGGTTCCCTGTTACAATACGTGGGCGTAGGGTATACAGTACCGAGGTGTATGGGCAACGCGTATTTCTTCCTTGCCGATGGTGGGGGCGAGCTGGAACGATATTGTGTAAAGAGTATAATAACGTGCGTATGAAAGGCCGGATCCTTTGTGGGTAGCCGACCGTGTCCTGAAAGGATCTTCCAGGATCTGCTTGTGGGGGTGGCGGGGAACAACGGGAGGGGAACAACCTAACCACCGAGGGTTAGGGGCACCAGCTGAGAAAACATGCCCGCGGCGTGTCGACGAGATGTTCACGTATATATGAGCGCGTGCGTGTGCCAGTCGACGAAAAGAGGCGGATTGACGAACCGATCTGATCTGATTTTTAGAAACGATTGTCGATCTGAAATTCCTTTAAAAGAGCACAGTGGAATAGAACGTGGATTTTTTTTTCGCGGGTTTCGAAAAAGCGCCGCTTGTCTCGAGACAGATAAATTTATTATATTTGGTTACTGGCGGAGATTACGGTCGCCATATATTGGCATGTAATCCGGCATACGCCTGAAGGGACAAACACGAATTGCGCTGACGGCCGAGAGCGACTCGGATAGGAAACTAATAAATTATAATCAGAGTCGCGCGATTGCAAAGAGCGATGATGATTGCGAGCTGCGTAGCGCCGGGAAATTAAGTCCGTTTGTACTCCGGCTTTCAGTGAGTCTTGCTACTCTCGGCGACAGATTTTATTAGAGATGAAAAATATCTCTAGCGAGACAGATACAAAAACTTCAATCAGACGTAATAATAACGGCAGCGTGTATATAAAAACGATGGCAGACGGGAGAACGGCAATATAGACGAGCGAGCCGTCCCTCTTTCTCGTGAACGTTCATGGCGAGTCTCTACCTTTGACGGAGGCTGAAATTGCAGCGGCAGTATGTTACCACGTAATCTAGCCACCGACGGCACGGAATAAGCCGCAGAAGCGGATCCGTGAACGGCGGAAGCGGTATATGCAACGCGGCTGAATACGAAACATAAATTATAATCAGCCCCGGATCAAGCGCGGGATAGCCATGATTACAACGGGGAACGTGATGAGACTCTGGGCGATTCGATTTGCGCGCGGCCCACGCCCACGCATCAAAGGGACCGACGACGGGATCACGAAAATGTGAGTCTCTTTCCAGTGATAAATCCACGAAGAGAGACTTGGTTGAGTTGATCGCGCTAAAGCCTACAACAGCTCTGTTAGCCGAATATTCATATGAGCTTGATCGCTAGGAGAGAGAGAGAGAGAGAAAATTCTTGAAAAGAAAACAAAAATCCAGCCACCATATAGATTGAATTTATTTCTTAAACCCGTAAAGGTGTTATCTTTCCTGTATATTTAAGCCTTTGCATTAATCAGAATGTATTAGCCTCTGTCGGGATTTAAAGAGGCAGTTATTCAACTTTACGGCAGATGCAACCCGATACGAATTTACACAGACCTGTCGGCAAGTTTAATTCCCATTCGGCTTTTATTTGCAAACAATGCGCTATAAGGCCCAACTAAAGCCGTACAGTACACATTGTCGAGGCACAATGATCGCAAACATCGAGATTTACAGCGAACCGTATATCCCACGCCCGTGTGCACATTGCACGGTTTCGCGAAACCGATAAATTTAATTAAAGCACGTGCCGATAACTTGGAGTATGCGCGTGTACTCGAATGGAGGTGAATGCAAGGAATCGACGGGTGTGTTCAATTGTACAGTCGCCTTTCCGAATTGCATCCATAAATATCACCGATGTCGACGTTATGTGGTCTAGCGTGGGGCCGTTTGCTTGAGCAACGGTTCGTGCGCGGAATGTTCAATGAAGCATGCAGATGCCGTGTGTACGCCAAGATACGCCACGTGTCGTCCAGTTACGAGAAACTGGGAACCGCGGCCTGAGGTCACGCCATGCGAACATGACACCGCATCTTGTCAGAACAGCGGGATCTGCCTTGACATGGGTACTGGACGAATGAAGTTTTGAACATTCTGTTAACGAATTCAGCAATTTGTTTGTTTCCGTATACACGGAAAGAATAATTTTGTATCTTAAAATTTAGTTAGGTACAGACCTAAAAATAATTTTGTTAGACCATCAAAATATTTACATGGAAATCTTAAGCATGATAATGCTGTAAAAAGTTTTGACATTCTAGCAACCAGTTTGAGTGTTTTACACAAATTATTTTGATGCAATATAAAACCTAAATCCGCTTACATACTATACGCAAATTCCAACATTGCGATACGTGACGATACAGCTCGTTCTTCTTTATCCAATTTCCAAGTTGGCTGTGTACGAAGTAGTCACATCAATATAACAACTCATACTAGCATAATAATTAATATAAATAAAACGTTACATAAACTAAACCTCAAATCAAAGCTGGCGTACTAATACTAAAAAATTGAAGTTATAAAAATTAAAAATTAAGAATAAAGTCATATGCATTACATCAAATTGAAATAAAAACTTGTACAAATATGTGAATTGCGATTAGAGTCAAAAACCATGCGTTAATTATTGAAATACTGAAAGTTAATTCAAATGTAAAGTTACCTGAATTAAGTCAAATACATTGTAACCGCATGGAAATATTAATTTATAAAATAATATGAATTTCAAGTAGATAACATTACGTCAATTTGGAAATAATTATACAATGATATAAACTTACATAAAATGAGAACGGAGTTCAATACATTATGTCAAAAAGTAGAACACATTGCTCATCTAATTGTCAGATTTACTGTGTAGTCATTCAGAAGAAAATAAAAAAACATCGATTAGAAAAATACTGCAAATTATTTTAATCATCCATCGAAATTATTTTTAGCTTTGTACATAAATTTTTAGATGTTTTGGCAAAATCATCCTTTCTAGATATTATAAATCGTTCATACAATTGCCACAATATACAATACAATGGAAACTTGAATTATACATATAAGAATAAAATGAATTAATTTGAATAGATTAATAACAACTTTCAAATTGTGTAAAGATTGATGCAATTGAGGTTGGTGCAACATAATGTATAAAGTTTTATGTATTTAATTAAATACACTATGCGGCTTCAATCCTTTATGCAATTTGCAAATTTCTATTATCTAAATTACCCCGCTTTATCCAATTATATTTTACAATATTTTACAACAATCTTTATGCACATTATCCCAAGAGCATCTCTCATCTTCGTCCGTTCCATTAAAATAATTTTTTAGGATCATAAGGTAATTTTACGAGAGACGGTCTTTAGTAGAGAGTAAATTTCGCATTGCGGTCATGCCGTAGTAATTAATCCAATTCTCATTCGACCGACGCAGTCGGCCTCGCGAAATTTCTTTTCCATCGAGGTGGTTAGTTCAGCTTAGCAAACCGAGCGAAGGAACGTCAGCGAACAACGATAGGATCTTTGAAAGGCACGGCGGGTAACGCCCGCGTCGTGCCACGCGACTAGACAGTTTTCGGAGAGGGAAGAAAGCAGACGTCCGTCTCTTACACGTGAATCGAGCGTGACGCGTACGCGCCTTGACGGACGGCCATATTAAATCAACTGCCCAGCTCTTCCACTCGTTTGTTTCTCCTTTCAAGCCGGATTCAATTTTCTCCACGGCGCCTTGCAAATCGAGGGATATAACCGCACGGCTAAAATTTACAAATATGATGCCCGACACAATGCCCGCCTTTCGAGAACGGACCAGTGGTTGCCATCCATCGCTTTGTAACACTGTCAGTCGAATTTCTATTTCGTTCCTTAATTTTTCTATTCATTTTGTTTTATTTACTTCATTATTTTTATTTAAGTACTTAAGAATATCAAAATCCGCAAGAAGTTCTATATTAGTACTTTTAAAGGATTATTAATTACCTCGACTGGTAACCGTCATTTGGACTTGAGACAAAAATTTTTGGACGATTATACAATCTGTACAATTAGTATTGTACAAAGAACTGAATCTTTCTCTATCAATCGCCGTATGGTGGAGGTTTACTAACATTTTGTGCTTCAAAGAGAACGCATTAGAACTTATATGGATGTAATTATTTTTTACGGCTGTAGTTAAGAATATTCCAAATTTAGAAGCATAGAAAACAATTTTCTTAAATCTTGTATATAGGATTTATAGCGGAGTTTGTTAAAAAGTGTAAAACACTGCGTGTATTTGGTCAACAGCACAGCTCGACGAGCTTGATTACCTTCAACAGATAGCGACCCAATTAATGGTCGAGAAAGAGAGGGCAGATTAATATTGATAGAGGGAGACCATCGTTCTCTCCTTGGCGGTAAGATCCGGACAGGCTGTGTAAGATAATAGCGGTGCGCAGGCCGAGGGGATCAAGGGATCGTCATAAACTATCTTAAGGTGTCGAGTTTGTCACGGTCATGCGAGACCGAGTTTTCAAAACAGGATTAGGCGTTCTCCAAATCTCAAGAACGATGTACACCATTCTCTCTCCCTCCCTTTTTTTCTCTCCTGTGATCCTGCAAAACGTGTGTCGTCTAT